GGCTCAGACCCACCGAAAAAGCCTAAAGTGGCCAGAAGTGCATGGGACGCAAGCTGCAGGCGACTCGCCAAGTTCCCGCATCGAAATGCGTCACTAAGGCGCTAGGGGCCAAGGACTTTGACACGCTCCACCTGTTGCGACACGCTCCGCCCACCGCTCGATATTTTGTCTGCGTCGCAATGCTGATCTGCTATGCTCTCTCTTCTCGGACTCTCCGCTCTCCGCGCTCACATTATCTCTCATCTCCCTGCCGGCCTTTTGAACTTCTCCGCAGCGTAGAGCAAAAGGCTCGTATTTCCTGTGTATTTCACGATTTTTTTCCTTTTTTCTCCACTGGCGGTCCACCTCCCACCCCTACATCACATTTGAGTAGAATTACCTCATCAGTTTAAGCTTGAATCTTGCCTTTAAAGGACGAAAACATTGGAGTGGAGAACTTGCAAGGTTCGGGAATGATAGCTGGCGAAACATCAGCAGCCTACGATGAAGTGCCGACATACTGTCTTGTGACTGGCCGTACGGTCGGTATTGGAGCTTACACAGCTCGTCTAGCTCATCGTATCGTACAAGTACGTCTAGACTACCACTTCCTAATAAAATGCTCAGCGATTCATTTTTACACTGATATTCATTCAGACGCGCTCATCTCATCTCATTCTCACTGGTGCGCCTGCCCTCAACACCTTATTAGGAAAGGAGGTACCGTTATTTCCCTTCTTCAATCCTAGATGAATAGTTCTCTCGAAAAATAGCGTTTCAGGTTTACACCTCCAACAATCAGCTAGGAGGCATCCAGATAATGTACAAGAACGGAGTCACTCACGCTGTTGTGAATGACGATTTTGAAGGGATTTGCAAAATCATACAGTGGATGAGCTATCTACCTTACGAAGTGAGAGTGTAGAATTAAAACAACTCGAAGATAATTATTTATTAAGTTCCTATTGCCCAGGTTTCATCATTCCCATATCGCCGTTATATTGGTTTCGATTCGTCTCCACGACTTGTACAATTCACCGTTGAACCAAACAAGCCGTACGACATTCGGCAACTGATCGATAGCCGAGATTCGGAACATACCCGTGGAATTTGTGATTCTAATTCGTTCGATGAAATTATGAATGAATGGGCAAAAACAATTATAGGTATGAACAGTTGCAACTCTCCGTCACTGTGCTCCAGCTATTGACTAAAATGCCACTTTCCAGCTGGTCGTGCTCGAATTTGTGGCATTCCTATTGGGGTTGTTTCTTCGGAACTTCGGAATGTGATGTCCGTCAATCCGGCCGATCCTGCTTCACCAAACAGCCAGTCCGTCGAAGTGCATCAAGCTGGGCAAGTATGGTACCCGGACTCCGCATTCAAAACTGCGGAAGTGATAGGAGATTTCAATCGAGAAGGTCTCCCACTTCTATTTATTGCATCCCTTCGTGGATTTTCCGGTGGACAGCGAGGTATGTTGGGTTTTGCTTGTAATTTTTTTGTAAGCATGAAAAACTTTTCACATTCGCTTCAGATATGTTTGAAATGGTGCTCAAATTCGGAGCACATATAGTGGACGCACTTCGACAGTATCGAAGGCCTGTGATCATTTACATACCTTGCCAGGGAGAGCTACGCGGAGGTGCATGGGTTGTACTTGACAGCAAAATCAATCCTGGACTCATCAGCATGGTTGCGGATAAAGAGTCACGAGGAGGTACATTTAAAGCTCAAAGACAAGGAGTTCGGGCTTAGACCCACTTAATGAGCCTTTACGGTGGCTAGAAGCGCTAGGTACGCAAGTGTAGAGGTCGCGTCACTTCCCTACTTCGAAAAGCGTTATTTAGACGCTAGGCGCTAAGAACTTTGACACGCTCCACCTGTTGCGACACGCTCCGCCCACCGCTCGATATCTTGTCTGCGTCGCTAATTGATCTGCTATGCTCTCTCTCGGACTTCTCTAGCGCTCTCCGCGCTCACATTATCTCTCATCTCCCTGCCGGCCTTTTGAACTTCTCCGCAACGTAGAGCAAAAGGCTCGTATTTCCTGTGTATTTCACGATTTTTTTTTCTTTTTTCTCCACTGGCGGTCCATTTCTACCCCTACTTTCACATTTGAGTGGAATTACCTCATAATTTATTCCTGAATCTTGCCTTTGAAAAGCGCCTTCCTTTTTTCCTGTAGGCGCAGCATACTCTTTGGAGAACTAGGTAAATTGACAGGGTCAAAAACGCTAGTCTCAATTATGGAAACCAAAACTGCTACCTGAACTGTCTAAGGAAGTTGTGAGCTGTCAAAATTGGAAAGAAGGGCAGAACAGAGTAGGATGTGGCATCAGTCTGGCCTCCTGTAAAATACGAAACGCTATTGGGGTATTGATCGGTATCACCTATGACTCTATAAGAAAAGCTTCAAAGGAAATCAGAAGTGCTGGTACAGGCAGATTAGCTCGCGTCATATGTTGACGCTGTATTTCCTGCCAACTTTGACCACTGGCAGCTTGCTTTGTATTAGTTGCACGCCAGAATTTTGGTCTATATTTGAATATCTTCTGGGCTTCGATGTTACACAGGATCGCCGTTTTCAAAGTTCCGGAAGTTTAGAACATCTCGTGGCGGCCCTAATAATATATTTCCTTTGAGTGGACCTATGAGCAAAACGTAAGTTCTATTAATTCCAATGTTAATGTTTCTCAACTTGTAAAACATCCGATCGGAAGTGATATGCTGACTGGTGACTTGTGGGAGAGATACCTCGCGCTCACCCCGTGACACGCACATGGATTACGGCGAAGCGGCTAAATTCAAATACGCCGCGGGTTAATAGAGCCTGGAGCAAGCAAGTTTGGACAACTCGTCCCGACGTACCCCTCCCCCTTTCAAGGGAAGGAGAGGGAGTTGTTTGTCAATGGTTTTCATACCAGGTTCGCTTGGTTTTCGTTTTTTATTTTCAGATTAGTTTGGCATCCACGGTAGTTGCTCCGGTGGCATACCCGAATTCGTGGTCACAACGGTTGTTATGAAGCTGTAGATACATTATATAACTGAACGAAGAAAAAAGCTAAGAAAAGGACGGCCATAAAGCTCAAAACAGAACAGATTACTTCATGAAATGTAAGGTAGGGCAGAGATCGACGAGGTGTACGAACTTGCCTACCGCGCGTATTTGAATTAGCCGCTACGCCGTAATCCATTGTGTTCATGGGGTGTGCGCTACGTAACTCGTCCAAATGCTAAGATTAGTCGCCAAATGCTGACTTTGTAAGACCCTAGCGCCATTGTCGCGCACTTTCGAGCCGCGACAACGGCACATCTGTGCTACGTGGGCTACTCTATCCCACCCACTAAATAAATTAGACACGAATTCTGCTGGAGGTGTTGCTTGAACGATGTGATTTCAAACGTGTTCTAGGCATCCTGGAACCCAATGCCATAGTTGGTATCAAATTCCGTGGAGACAAATTGCTCGCTCTTCAAAAGAGAAACGATGAACTGATGCAACAACTTGATGCCAAGCTTGTCGAGGAAATTAAGGTTAGTTACCGCTTCATCTCACCTAAGAAGGTTTTACATCTTATTGTCTATTTAGTGCCATGGTGCTGATTCTCTGGAGGCGAATCACGTACGGAATCTAATTGCAAAACGATCAGATGATCTCAAAAAGGCCTACAGAGGAGTGATAGTTGAGCTTGCTGACCTGCATGATCGGTCCGAACGAATGGTCTCTAAGAAAGCAGTACAGGTTTGTTGGGATCCCTATCCGCTATCTTTCCGATAATATGCTACATTTTTATAGCACGTCGTTGATCTCGCCAATTCGCGTAATCTTTTTGCACAGATTTTTTCGTTGGAAACGGCAAAGGTTCATATTTGTGAAATGTAAGTTTTTTGATCTTCGGCTGTATTTTGCTTGATAAAATGTAAGTGGAAAAATCGCTTCTTCAAGCGAAAATAAGAATACGTATTAAGCTGAATGCAGAATAATAGAGTTTGGCTACCAGCTCAACCACTAGAAAGTTG